CGCACGCACGCACGCACGCATGACTAGCCCCATCATCTCGTGAACCGATGATCCGATGATGGTGGACAAGTCGCGACGACGAGGGTGGGCCGCCTCAACGCCGCGGTGGAGCGGTCCTAGGTGGGCTGACACTTCCGCCTGGCAACGCGTGCAGGGGGGGAGGGGGGGCACCTTCACCACTGAGCTTCTCACCGGCACCACCACGCTCCTTGCCATGGCCTACATCCTCGCCGTCAACGCCTCTATCCTCTCCGACCCGGCTGCGCCGCCTTCCTCTCTCGCGTGCGCCGCGACCTCATCGTCGCCACCGCCACCTCGTCCATCACCGGCGCCTTCATCATGGGTGCCTTCGCCGACCTCCCCATCACGCTCGCCCCCGACATGGGCACCAACGCCTACTTCACATACACTGTAGTCGGCTTCCATGGCTCGGGCACGCTCTCCTACCGCAAGGCACTCGTCGTGGTCTTCATCGAGGGCCTCATGTTTATCCTCATCTTCGTCATCGGGCTACGGTCCAAGCTCGCCCAATTGATCCTCAAACCTGTGTGGATCATGTCATCTGCGGGGATCAGGTTGTTTCTGGGGTTCATCAAGATGCAGAGCAACCAACGATTCTGGCTCGTCGGCTTCAGCATGTCCACACTGGTCACGCTCAGCGCATGCCCCACGTCGCGGCGCACGTCGATGGCGCGGTGGTTACGTTCACCAACAACGGCGTACTTTGCCTGTTCGGCTGGATGACCTCCCTAACCTTCTGACCATACTAAAATGGAACTGGAAGATTTTATTTTTTAATTCCTAATTAGTAGTAGTAGCACGGAAAAAAACTGCGTGCTATTAGTATTTAGGATACTAATAGCACATGGTACTACAGACGCGCTACTACTATTTAGGTGGTGATACCCCAGGCTTCTACTAACATTTTAGCTGTGGCATGATAGTAGTAGTGAGGGCCCCATGCTGTTACCAAGCAATTTACCCGCATCATTATTAGGCTTTTCTAGTGTGGTTATCCTCAGCATGACAGTTCTCTCTTCACGACGTGACAATTCTCTAGCGGTGTATGAGGAAGGGGGCGCTGGGGGTCTGAAATTTCGGTACACCACGTAGTCACTCCGTCCATCTATTTATGCCTTTCAGACACGATGGTTTCGTT